ACAAGCATCTTGGTCCGCAGACAGTGTGCCTGCTGCTGAACTGCTGTCGCCTGACAGCCTGTCTTATCTGCCAAATTGCTCATTAGGCCTGGCAATTGTCACCTGCGCCTCCAGTTCATACTCCAGCAGGGAATAAACATCAGTCTGCTCGCACCATCCTTGGCAGCAAGCTTCCAACACCCCCCTCAGTAGCCCGGCCCCCCCACCTGCAACCCTCCAAACATACTCACCTTGTATACACACCATTATTTTTAAAATGTCAATTCAGCTTCCAGCTCTTAGAAGCTAGGTTGGCTTAAATAAAGCAAAAAACACAAAAGACAGAACATACAACATAAGCCCCATATTACAATGTGAAGTGGGCTGACCAATAATTCACTTAATTATTCATGCCAAAAAAGAACACATAAACAGTCTGAATGTAGTGAAGAATGCTCATTTCATGGAGTATTTCTGAGTGCACAGGTGACAAGAGAGCAGATCAGATCAGAGGAGTCCTCTTCCAATGGGATCTGACCCATGCAACCTTGATTCTAAGTCTGAAAGGAGAGTACTCCAATTTATAAATAAACAATAGAGGTACTGTGGCAACCAGAACAAAGAGGTAGCTGAGAGTAATCCAGGCTCTCTGTCTTTGCTGCTTCCACTGATGGCTGCCAGTGAGCGCTCTGACATTCAGAGGCGGATCGATACACAAAAAAGATACAAAAGAGATACTTTGTGGGCAAAAAGCACCAAAGATATGAAACAGAATGTCTGAAACCCCGTAAAACAACTTCTGATGGAATACTGTTTTTCATTTTGCAGAAGTAAAATATTCACCACCAACACTGCAATTAGCTAGAAAATTACAATAATTACAGCAATTTTGTATCCCATCTCCAATCCAATTAATAGATATATGACCTTGTCAACATGTAATAATCAGATTGCATCTACAACAAAACTGGATGGGTTTTATATGCTGAATAGAACTTGCACAGTAAGAAGGTAATTATTTGAAATACTGAGAATGCCATTTGTATGCCATGCTCCACTTCACAAGTTAAAAGGAAATACAATAGGAATATTATTTCTATTTTCAGTATATGTTTAAATAAAATCCGGAAAATAGTATTCTAATAACAGGTCATGTTAAGAGAATAGGTCTCTAAACCAAAGATCTTGGATCTCGTAGCAAGACAAAACCAATCTGTATATTCTTGAGTAAGAAAAAAAATTTAGAGCTTGAGAAAGAGGCGGCGGGGTCGGGGGCACCTAACTTTATGACACAAGCCTTGTACAGCAGTTCTTTTTTTTCTTTCTTTCTTTTTTTTTGCGGTACGCGGGCCTCTCACTGTTGTGGCCTCTCCTGTTGCGGAGCACAGGCTCCGGACGCACATGCTCAGCGGCCACGGCCCACGGGCCCAGCTGCTCCGCGGCATGCGGGATCCTCCTGGACCGGGGCATGAACCCGTGTCCCCTGCATCGGCAGGCGGACTTTCAACCACTGCGCCACCAGGGAAGCCCTGTACAGCAGTTCTTGATGTCTCTGTAAGTTTTCAAAGTTAGGGAGATAGTAAAATCTTACCAGTTAGTTAAAGAGCACCATTTTCAGCAACATTTTGCCAGATAAAAATTAACTATAAAATTAACATAGCTCAGAAAGGTTAAAAGACAATCTAATCGGATACTCTGTTTCTCAAAATTTCTACAGCAATTCTATTTCTAGGACTTCTTCCATCACTAGGGCATATGCCACTGCCAAGCAATCTCGAATCTTCTGTCTGGCTCTTCCAAAGGAAATATTAAATCAGTATTCTGGGATGAAAAGAAATCCTACCATCATTCTAAAGCCAGGCTATCCCCAGAATGTTTGATCTCTATAAAAAGCCTTTGAGAATTAAAAAATAAAAAAATCTTAAGTGGGGAAAAAAAATGCTAGACTTGGTCTCAATGATCTGCTCCGGAAATTGTGCTCCTGGGCACAGCAGGTCTCTCTAAAACTGGATTTGTGAACAATACAAATACAGTTAAACATCTATCACAGAACCATGAGGTTAAGAGAGCATGGTTCGGGCTTCCCTGGTGGCGCAATGGCTGGGAGTCCGCCTGCCAATGCAGGGGACACAGGTTCGTGCCCTGGTCCGGGAAGATCCCACATGCCGTGGAGAGGCTGGGCCCATGAGTCATGGCCGCTGAGCCTGAGCGTCCGGAGCCTATGCTCCGCAACGGGAGAGGCCACAACAGTGAGAGGCCCACGTACCGCAAAAAAAAAAAAAAGAGGAAGAACATAAACTCCTTGATGGCAAGGACTAGGCCATATTAACTCAACTCTGAATTCGGATCACCTCGCACGAGGCCTGGCCAGCACAGACCTACTGTTGTTTTATTTCTGAATGAATGGTATTAATACTGTAGAAAATGACTCATAGGTATTGGGTAACTTGCACATAGTCACCAAACCCTGTATTTAGTAGATGTTTAACACACATCTACCCAGTGCCTGCCAAGGCCATAAAATCTAAATAACGTTAGCAAATAAAATTCAGAGCTTCTTGCTCTGAATATTTACATATCTTCCCACCGATGACTGCAAGACAACACATATGCTTCAAATATAACTTCCTTTTCTCAATTAAAACAAGGTAAAAGAGATGTTTGGGGTTGAAAACAGTATTTAAATTTTAACACACAGAGCCAGCCAAATATGGGTGGTGGTGGTTTAAAAATCTTGTTGAGGGGCTTCCCTGGTGGCGCAGTGGTTGAGAGTCCACCTGCCAGTGCAGGGGACACGGGTTCATGTCCCGGTCCGGGAAGATCCCATATGCCACGGAGCGGCTGGGCCCATGAGCCATGGCCGCTGAGCCTGCACGTCTGGAGCCTGCGCTCCACAACGGGAGAGGCCACAGCAGTGAGAGGCCTGCGTACCGCCAGAAAAAGAAAATATAAATAATACATATATATATATATTTTTACTGACTGACAAATAATGTCTTCCCATGCTTTTGAAAACTCAGTTGAGGAAGCCAGTGCAGCTTTTTTATTCCTTTGTCATTTTTCCATGTGTGAGAATTGTGGTTGCCAAGAGTTCTAGGAAGAAAAAAAAAAAAAAAAGAATCTTGTTGAGTCAGTGAAGTCAAAAGATATAATGGGGGACCTCCCTGTTGGTCCAGTGGTTAGGGCTCCACACTTCCAATGCAGGGGGCCTGGGTTCGAGCCCTGGTCGGGGAACTAGGATCCCACGTGCCACACAGCGTGGCCAAAAAGTAAAAAATAAATTTAAAAAAAGATATATATGGATGGGCAGCAAGCCATTCAAATTCTTCTTAACCTAAAGACAGGACTGGCCTTTCCTCTAACACATTTTTAAGGTGCAGCTAAATTAAAGGTACACATTGCTTTGTAAAACACCTGAATAAAAAATGCACAACAGTAACACAACAAAAAGCTCTGTATTTCATTATATACATTAAGGTATAATTACTCACATAAAGACGCTGTTTTCCAAACATCAGGCACCTATGAATCCTTGTACTCTTGTTTCATTAAAATATTCTTTAAATCAAAACTAGGCAATCCATTTCTTAAACACAAGCCAAGCAGATAATCATTAAGGCATGGACTTAATGAGCTAGTATACAATAAAAGAAAAGAAAATGACCTGCACACCCTCTACATATTACTTCACATACCATACATGGTATACACCTCACCTTTTGAAAAACACTGCCCAAAGTAAATCCTACATAAGATTTTTTAAGTAGTGTATCCATGTAGTAATCAAATGTTACTTCCACAAAATCAGTTTAAAATATATCTGTTCATGTATGTGCACAAACAACCCATGTTTCCTGGATACAAGGAAAGGTCCAGCTAAAACACCTTACAGTGGCTGTTCCTGTCCATGCTTCCTTGGAAACATTTTCCACTGTGCCCAGCTCTCACTACGATTATTCTTGTCCAGGTGATAGAAAGCAATTTTAGAAAGTGGTTAACATTGGTCTGCAACCATACACGATCCCCTGGGCATCACATACATATCCCACCATGCAATGTGCCTTTCAATCCTCTACATCTCTATATGGCATACTTTCCCTGTGGTTTCTGATGGATCATCAGATTTGTTAACTGTTAAATTGACGTTCTTTCCTTATTCCCCATATATATATATACATACACACTCTCTCCCTCCCTCTCTCTCCCTCCCTCCCTCCCCCTCCCTCCCTCCTCTATGTGAAGATCTACTGAAGACGACCAGTAACATCACACAAGACTAAATTTTCCACTTGAAAAACTGAAATGTTTCTAGATAGATGTGCCTAAAAGATAAATGATTTTTAAGTTATAAATTTCTTGAAATAGGCCTTCTTAGTCTTAACAATTGCTCAATGATAAGATTATATAATTACAAATGCTAAATAGAATGTTTAGCAGAAGCTCTTCACTGTAAGCTTGGCAGGAATGGGTGCAGAATTCTTCAAGCTAGTGTCCCGGAACTTGGGCACTAGGAATCCTAGGATTCCTACTATAAACTCACTAAGACCTACCTTTTCGTTTCTTGAGATGGCATCTAATAGCAACTCTTCCAGATCCCTGAAGATAACAATCCTTGAGGTCCCTTCAGCCCCTGCTCTCCAGATAAAGTTCAGGTAACCGTTATAACCAACTTGATGGTCAATCCAACACACTGTGTTTGGTTTCAGTGGAAGGATGTTGATTATTTCTATCTGTTCTAGCGTTCATACAAAACATATGGAAAGAAAAATGTAGGTAGTATAACTTTAACTATTATCCTTATTTACCTTTGGTGAGCAATGAAAAGTCTACCAGTCCAAAGTGAAGTAAGGCCAGTCTATGAAAACATAAAGAATCTTGTGTCCCTCTCTTGCAAAAGACACTCGCCCAGGTTCTAAACTTAATCAGTTCTTGATATAAACAGACAATGAATTCCATTCACAAGAGCATGGCTGGATAACACGGTCGGCATCCCCGCAAGTGAAGATGAAATATGCACTCACTGGCACGGAGGACCGAAGGGGTGACCTCGATCTCACTCGTTGCTTGGTAAGGCTGGAAGGCTGAAACACTGTTGGTGCCGAGCTCACTGCCAAACATCTCCGGACTCTGGGTGCCTGTGGAGCTGGCACTGGTGCCATCACCTCCGTGATGCGGGTCCTGCTCATCAAACACCGCTACCAGCTAGAAATGACAGGTAAATTTGCAATTATAAACAAAGGCATTTAAAATGACAACCGAAAACTTACACCACCTTTGATGTAAATCTACAGAGGAAAAATATGGATATGTACACACCCAGGAATGTTATGTTTTAGGAAAAGAAACTTCAAAGAAATAGTCTGGCCCTGAGTTTTGATGCTTTATTTTTATATTTCTAAGTCATACACTTCATATGCAAAATTCTCTGGGTGAAAATAAAAATAAAACGGTTTTGTATCACAGAACGCTAAAGGGGATGGAGTGGATTTAAATCTTTTTGTAAATGATATATCAAGTGGAAAAGAAAGTGCATATATACCTATATATAATGCATATACATGATATATAGTTTATACAGCAAAAGGTATAAGGGACCCTTCATATGGGAAGAAGGGTATATTAACAACTGTGCAGCATCTGCTCATTTGTGCATAATAAACACAGAAAGGATACGAGAAATTAATGAGACGGGTAGGCTACAGGGAGTTAGTAGGAGCAGGGCTGAAAGAAAGAGAGAATGGGAACAATAGTGGAGATAATGGGGCGGTAACACTTTTCTGAATATATTTTTCTGTAACTCTGACTCTTAGAACCATCATAATGATTCAAATACCTAAAAGAGAAATAAATAATTGAAATCGACCAGGAGGCAAGGTGGGGTCTGGGGGTCGGGAATCTAAAATGGAGCACAAATAAACCCAGCTACGTTACAAATGAAAGACAGAACCACAACGAAAAGGGTGGGGAAGAAAAGAACTAAGTCACTTTACAAAACTTTTTTTTTCACTGTTTAACATAAGGCTAAAGGCAAAAAGAACCTTCACAGGAATATTGTATTCTAGTTAGTAAAGTTGTTCCTTACAAGTGCGTGGTTTAGAAATTCATACTCCTCACACACACACACACACACACACACACACACACACACACACACACACA